GCTACAGCCTCTTCTCCGATCCAGTCCGCCTCCCGCGATGGCGCCAGGTGGTCCCTCCTGAAGCAGGACACTGGGCCTTCTGCCCGGTGTTCTTGCGTTGACGGGATCCTTGCTCCCTGCCAGGCACCTGAGCCTTTCTCGTTGCTGTGATTCCCTCCGTCACGCCCCAATCGGGCTGCCGGCCACACTGCCGCCGCCTGCCAGGCCCCTGGGCCCGGGAGCGGCCCTCGGGAATGGGCCTTTGCGTGTTTCCGGGGACCGCGTCTCCCCGACCCTCCTGCGTCCTTCTCCCCCCATACGCTCGGCCTGCATGGCGGGGACGGGGGGAGGGGGCGTGTGCTGACCCGCACCTGTGTTGCGAGACCGTTTGGTTGTGTTTCACGCCTGCGGGGGCGTCTGTGTCCGACCTGCACGGAGGCCTGTGCACCCATGGGTGAGCCTCGTAAGTGGCTCAGAGTCGGCTTACAGCTGCCCCACAGACTCCCACTGACTCCCAGGGCACAGAAGCAGCCTGTCATCTGTCCTGGCCGTCCCCGCTGCCACCGGCCGTCCTCCCGGGAACCGTGGCCCCCAGCCTCTGCTCCCGTGGCAACGGCACCCGTCTGCGGGCCCCGCCGGGCCGTGAGGGCGAGTCAGGTCTCTGCCAGGTCCATGTCCACGTACACCCTGTGGGCAAAGCACGCACTTCAGCCTAGAGCCGAGCTGAGAGCAGGAGGAAGGCGTCTGCCCGCCAGAGGGGCTGGGGACACTCATCAAGGGCGGGCACAGGCGGGGACCGGCAAGGACAGCGGGGACAGGAGGGCCCCTGTCCAAGGTGCCTGTGCTTTCCGTTTTGAGACAGAGGCCATTTATGGAAAGCAAAAGGTTCTCTTGTAACAAACCAGAAAACGTAAGTAAAACACGCGTGGCTGTGCCAGGTGCCGTGCCGGTGGCCGCTGCCGGGCAGCCCCTCCGCTCCCCACGGGCGGGCTCCTTCCCGTGGCCGGCTGCCGTCGCCCCCTCCTGGGAGCCTGGGGATGGTGGTGCCCAGGAGAGGCGCGAGGGGCGGAGTCAGGTGGGCAGGGAGAGCCTCTGATCCCGCAGCAGGCAGCACCGAGCCTCAGCCACGTGCGAGGCTGCCCTGGTCGGGCCGCAGCCCCTGCCATTCTCGGGGTTGAGACAGGAAGCAGGACAGAGGTCACGGCTCCTGAGCAGGCGCCTCCCTCAGCCTTCCTTTTGCTCCCTGTGTTTCCTTCGAGTTTGGCTGCCTACATACATACGTGCGCTAGGCGGACCACGCTCCAGGGCAGGTGGCCTTCCTGGGCGGGCACCCTGGCCCTGCTGGTCCTTAGGGCGTTTGCTACCCCGACTTGTGGCCAGTGCACAGCGTCACCAGGCCACTCTTGCTCTGTGGCAGGAGCTGGACCTGTGCGTCCTGTTCACACTCTTCCCAGTGACTCGGTGGGGGGGACCCGGCGCTGCCTGCCCTGTCCCACCGCAGCTGCGCGGCAGGTGCGCATCAGTTCCGCCCGCTCCCGCGAGTGCTCTTCTCCAGGGCGTCCGGTCCCGTCCTCTGCCTGCTCGGAAACGCCTTCTTCGGCTTGAAGAGTGTTTTAAATACACACATTCTGGATGCAGGCCCTTCGTCACACATGTGTTAGGAGTATTTTGCTTCATTTTGCTCCATTTTGCTCCGGTTTTGCTTCATTTTTAAGGTGTTTTCCAGGAGCAGAAGTTTTACGTTCTGATGAAGTCCCATGTCTGGAGGTGAACTGGAGTTCTAGCTTTAACACTCCCCGTGTGGCAGCCTCTGCCTCGGTGCGGCCTGTGTCTCCGTCCTGCTCAGGCAGCTGTGCTGCCCCGAGGTGGTGAGGTCGTCTGCCGCGCAGTCCAGAGAGACCCGTGCTCTTCCATTTTCCCCGGTCTGACCCCTGGTCCTTCCGGTGTGCCGTGCGGCGGGACGCGGGTCCCTGTCTTGCATGGAGCTGCAGCTCTCCCGCGTCTCTTACTGAGAGGACCCCCTGGGCCCACGCCGGGGCGGGTGGCATTTTCACTGTAAATCGGGTGGCCATCTGGCTCGAAGGTCCGTCTGGACTCCGCCTTCTTCCTCTGGGCCACTTCCCTGTTTGAGACTGAACTGGTGTCACCGCAGACAGTGCGCTGTGCGCGTCCGCTCTGCTCCGCGGCCGTCCGGGCTGTCCAGTCAGTCCACAGTCCCACGCAAGTTTTAGGCGGTCAGAGGCGGGCTGCTGACTTCTCCAGAGAAAGCCGGAGCTCTGATCGCAGCTCTCAGATGTGGACGGCAGTGAACTTGGTCCGGTCCACACACACACGTGCCCTCCGTGCCCAGGTCTCCACCTCCTCACGGCAGAGTCCTCGTCTGCCGTGACAGCGACTCACCGTCGGTCCCAGGGCTTGTTGGATGTTTGATTTTTAATGGGGTTGCTGATAAGTTTTCAAGTTTCATTTTCTCATTTTTTGCTAATCTGTAGATATACAGTTGACTTTAAGAACATTTTTTAAGTGTTTACTTATTTTTAGAGAGAGGGGAAGGGCGGGAGAAAGAGAGGGAGAGAAACATCCGTGCGTGGTTGCCTCTCACACGCCCCGTACTGGGCCCTGGCCTGCCGCCCAGGCGTGTGAACCCTGTCAGTGACCCTTCGGTTTGCAGGCCAGCACTCAGTCCACTGGGCCACACCAGCCAGGGCTACAATTGACTTTTAACTTGACTTTGTTTTATTTTCATTCTTACCCAAGGACATGCCCATTGATTTTAGAGAGAGGGGAAGGGAGGGAGAGGAACATTGATGTGGGAGAGGAATGTCGGTCGGTTGCCTCTTGTACACTCCCTGAACTGGGGTCACACTTGCAACTCAGGCATGTTACCTGATTGGGAATCAAACTCGGGACCTTCTGGTTCACAGGACTATGCCCCAACCTGCTGAGCCACACCCGCCAGGGCCAATTAATTTTTATATACCCGCTTTGTGATCAGCAATTTTGTTTTCTGTTTTATTACTAATAGTATGGTGTAGAATCTCTTGGGTGTTCCACACATCTAATCGTTAGCATGCACTGCTATTTTCGTTTCTTTTCCTGTTTTTACACCTGTTTTTTGTGTTGCCACACCGAAGTAGAAGGACCTCTGGTACAACGTTAACTCGAGGGGGTGACGCACAGCATCCCTGTGCTGTTCCTGTCCTCAGGGGGACAGCGTTTGCTGTCCCACCCCCAGCTGTCACAATTGTCTGGTGAACAGAGAGTCAGAGGAAGGAGTCGTTTTCCCGACATCTGCGTGAAATTCTCCGAGGAAGGAAGTCGTTGGACTGGGAGTCGGCTCAGTCATTTCTCCCGTTAGAGACGTTTTCCCAGTCCCACACCCTTGTCACTCTGTGCGGGCGTCCCCTTCATTTCTTCTGCAGCCACGACGTGGTTCTCAGGCTGCTGGCTCCATCGCTGTTTGGACGAGACCCTTTTCCTCGTTGGGAAGATCCACACTGCGCCCCCACCCGGCCCACGTGGCCGGTGCTCTCTCCTCCTTTCCGACTCGGCGTTGCCGCTGTCGGTGCCAACTGCGCCCTTTCAGGAGAGCCGCTGCCCGTCTCGCGGGTTCGGCAAGACGACTGCGGATGGGAATGCCCACGCCCATCAGTGTCTTGCCTGGATAGAGACCGTGGTGCAGGTCCATAGCTCCAGCGGAACTGTCACCAGCGAGCGTGCAGGCACGCGGTTCTGTTCCTTTCAGACCCGTGTGTTTCAGACCCCACGGGGCGTGCGGGGTGAGCACCGAGCCAGGGTCAGAAGGCTTTGGCTGGGATCCTGATCCTCTCTTCACTGTCTGCTCACAGGTGACAAGGGTGGTGATGACCATTCCTGGGAAGCCAGGCAGGTCACTCAAGTGCTCACTGCTCTGTTTCTTGGCGGATCAGCTGGTGTTTTGACTGGAGGGTCATTGTAGCCAATCAGAAGCGGGTGTTTTGAATGTAACGCAAGGTCCTGTTTTCCTCTCTTTGTGCAGGGGAGGCACTGCTGACCAGGTGCTCCTCGCCCCCCAGTTCTTTCTGCCCTTGGCATCGGTCATGGGTTTCAAGCCGAAACCTGTCTGTGCTCTGTCACTGTGCACTGACGGTGGCCTTGAAAGGGGAAGGCGTCTGGTCCAGCATCCGTGTGACGTGGAAGGGACAGGAAAGCAGACTTTGAGAGGATTTGTGTTTAGGAATTTATGATTACATTTCTTATCATATAGTGCTAAATCTGTTTTCTTTGGTCCTGAAAAATTTCTGGCAGGGCAGAGACCTAGAGTTTGGCACCCCCCCCCCCCCGAAAAGGAGGCACCCTTCTTATCTGACTTCAGTCTCTTCGTCCACAAAGCGGCTCCTCAAGGCGCTGGAACACGGCACAGGCTCCTGCAGAGACCGGAGTGTCGTCCCTGGGGCGGGGTCCTCACCAGCAGGAGTGCCAGGACGCCTGGTCGTAGATGTCGTACCCTCATGGCCAGTGGGACAATGGCCAGCGTCACCGCTGGGCCCACCCGACAGCACAGTGTGGGTCCGCTGTCTGCTCTCCTGGCTCCCATGCTCACCAGCTGGTGGGCCAGGTCTCAGCACCAAGACACTCTGGACAGACGGAGCCCTTCCCGGGCGCCGGGTGCCTGTGACGCCCTTCGCGGGGCGGTGAGCAGAGACCCACTGGAGGCTGGCCTTGGGCAGCCCCAGCCGCCTTCCTGGTGACTGTGTGTGTGCCCCGCCACGCTGCCCTGTTTTTTGAGGAACTGTTGAAGAATGGAAGGAAATCAATTTTGAAGAATTTAAATTTTTTCTGAAACAGAATGATGGTTTTTAAACCAGGAAGAAGCGTTGAAGCAGGAGTTGGGCCCTTCTGTGTGCAGGCTTGGGGTCTCTGGGGGTCCTGCCTCCCTGCCGCTGCTGCTGGGGAGCAGTGGGCGTGGCCTGGGAGTGTGGGCGTGGCTGGCTGTGGGCGGAGCGTAGCGTAGGCTCTGCTGACATTGCCTATGTGTCCAGCTGCAGACAGCAGAGTCCTGCGGTGCGCCGCCGTGTGGAGGATGCCCGAGGAGTCGGAGCCTGGCAGCCACGAGTCCCCCGACGACGCGGCAAGCACTGCGCATGCCCTGGAGCTGCTCTGTGACCTTGATCACGCGGTGCACGGGAGCACGGCCTGGTAGGTTCTGCGCATGCGTCCTCCCGAGAAGCCTCCGTTGAGACCGCAGGTTGTGCGTGCCCACCTCTCCTCTTGGTGAAGAGATGCTTGTAAGTGCTCGCTTCTTTTTCATTTTAGTCCCAGCGGTTTTCTGGATTGGACACATTCATGCAAACCCTGCCCCACGCTCTTGACAGAGCTGCGCCCAGGGTCCTCCCAGCTCAGACCCGTTGCCCAGGCCCCTGCCAGGGCACTGACCGCGGGCGTGGCACGGCACCTGGGTGCACTACCACGTGACTTGGAAGCGCTCTCAAAGTCAGCTGTCGATGCTCGGGTTACCTGTTCCTGCAGGTGGAGGGTGTGTCATTCTCCTTGGCGGGGGGGGGGGGGCGATGCACACGGTGTGCATGCGCACTGCACCCCGAGCCTTCCGCCTCGTCATCCCGAGTGTATTTCCCCACCTGTCACCTGCAGTGCCAGGCGCCAGGCCTAGGGCTCCAAGCCCTGCTGTCCCATGGATGGTGGAGGGTTTGCTGTGCCCACCGTGGTCTCAGGGGCCCCCCCCCAAGAACTCACGGCTGTCTGTGAGGCCCTCAAAACCTTGGGAGATTCAAGGGGCCGTGCTTCTAGAAGGGACTCTGGGGGCATAATGTCACATGTGTTCGCAGTCCCGAGGGCCGCTGTGGTCCTCGTACGGCAACACCCCCGTGTGCGTGTGGGTGTGCGTGGGGGGGGGTGAGAGCGAGGGAGCTCTGCCTCCTCTGCGCAGTCAGCCCTGTCCTAGCTCTACCAGTTCAGTAAGTGGAGCCCAGCGGGTTTTTATGAAGCACCTGCTGCATGCGTCTGCCGGGATCTAGGGGCCAAGGTGCCAGGCCAGGAGACCTGGCCTCAGGAGCCGGGACCTCTCGGGGGCCGTGCTGTGAGCGTCTGGGGTGCAGGGTGGGCAGAGTCCCCACTGCGGTCACTAGGCTGGGGTGCCACGGCCCCAGGAAGGAGTGGCTGCGTGTCACCGGTGCAGTCGCCCAGGGCGTTGCTCAGGAGGCGGCACTTGGAGCTGGGGCGGAGCCGACTTCCGTCAGCGTGGGTCTTAAAGCTGTGAAAGGAGTGGAGCGGTAGGTCCATGCGGTCCCAGCAGATGCATCTCCTGGTGTCCTCCTGCCAGAGGGCCCAGAGCTGGCCCAGTGAGGGTGCAGAGGGGCGCGGCAGTGCCTGGAGGAGCCGCTGGGGCAGGCAGATGTGGAGTGCCTGTCGGTGCAGGACGCAGTGCGTGAGGAGTCCTGCCTTTCCCCGCACACCCATCTGCACACGTGTGAGTGTGTGCACACACCTGTTCCCCGTACCCTGGCACTGGGGGGCAGGTGTGTCAGACATGGTACAGTCCACAGTCACCTCAGGGTGGCCACCTTGGTGACTGTGGAGAGCTCGGGGGCCAGAAGCTAAAGGGTGGACCGCAGGCTGGCTGCCCCGGGTCCCCACCGAGGCTCAGCCCCTCCAGCCAGCCCGCCAGGCAGAAAAGCCCGCCCACGTGTGCATCGCAGGGGGAGGAGCGTCAGGGCGCACGCCAAGTCCAGACCGCAGCCGTGGCCGCCCACCTGGGGGGCGGATGTGCTGGGGAGTCGGGCGGGTGTAGAAAGCCTCCCGAGACCCCGGGAGCAGCTGCCGCCGTGTCCCTTGTCTCTCAGATCCTGCCTGTCACCCGGGACACTGTGCTCTGCGCCGCAGCCGAAGGTAGCAGCAGACCCGCATGCAGTGGTGGCGGGACAGCGCTGGGACCCCGGCGCTGGGTCCAAGGCCGGCGCTGCTCACGTGCTCTTGCGCGCACCTGGAGCTCGCTGCCTGGCGTCGCTGCGTCGGCCCCAGTGGCCACCTCCGTGGCCCTGACTCAGAGCCAGGTCCCTGTGGGGCCTCTGCCAGCCACAGCCCCCATCGCCTCGCCCAGCTCCATCCCTGGCAGCCCTGAGCCTGCTCCCCCGGGGAGTGTGGCACTTCCAGAATGTTCTGTAAATGGAATCCCACTCAGCGTAACCTGTGGTAGTGGCTTTTGTCATTTGCCGTCACTACCCAGAGACTCATCCTACTCGCAGTCTGTGGCTCCACCCCTTCTGCTCAGAGCTGTCCTCTGTCTGGTGGGTGGGGAGCGTGTGGACTCGCTGCGGGCCCGACTGAACCAGGGGCTCTGAACCGGGGGCCAGGGTGGCTCACGCGTGAGTGTCCCTTTCTCTGGCTGCTCTTGCTCGGTGTGTGGCAGCATGTGAGTTCTGTGGGGGCCTTGGCAGTTCCCTAGAGGGGCTGCCCGGGGCGTCCCCCACGGGTGGGTCCCCACTCCCACATGCAGCCAGCCGTGTTACGTGAGTCCCTCTGAGCGTCGTTGGTGGCGTCCCAGTTCTGTTGCTGGACAGGAAGGTCCGAGGTTGGGGAAGCTCAGTCTGCAAGGGGTGCTGTTCAGGGTCGGATGGGGTGCGACCAGGGGCCGTGTGTGTGTGTGTGTGTGTGTGTGTGTGTGTGTGTGTTTGCTTTCCCTGTCGGCTTGGGACCTGGCGCAGAGGCTGGTGCAGGAGAGGAGCTCCCGGTCGCATCCCAGGCAGCGGCTGCTTTGGCCGTGGGATGCACCCAGGAAAGCACGTGGTTCCCCCTCCTTCTGTCGCTCGGGGCCACTCTGCTCCTGTGTGATCTGGGCAGCCGGGAGCATGTCCCTGTCCCCCAGGTCCATCTCAGCCTCCGCCAGCAGGGTCAGTACTGCACAGCCGGTGGGCCCCCGTCACCGCGGCTCCCAGGGGGCAGCGGGGGCAGGAGGGAGGTCGTAAAGGGCCTGTGGCGTACACACTGACATGAGCACCGAGCGGGTGCGCTCCAGAGCCCCCACCTGTGGAGGCGGGCGGGGTACTGGCTGGGAGCCCCCACCTGCTCTCTTCTGCCCTCCTGCCCTCAGGTGGCCGGGGGTCCCCGGGAAGTCACCCTTGTTCCTAGATCTGGAGGTCTCGTTTCAGCTGGGGCGTTGGCTCTGTGGCAGGCCCGCTGCACACGTGGTGCTCCCAGGTTTGTGAGGACACGCAGTGAAAGTCGGGTGGTGGCGGTGGGAGTGCCGTGCCCTCGGGGCCGTCTCTGCTGGGCGTCCTCAGCCCCGCTCTGGAGATGGGGCTGGAGCCGAGCCCTGCGGGGCCCCTTGTAACCCAGTGCCGAGCTCCTGTGTGGAGTGGAGAGCTGCCCGCTCCCTGCCCAGTGTCACCTCTGTGGAGTGGTCCTTCTGAACCGTCCCTCCTCTCCAGGCCTTTCTGCCATTTCACCCGGCATCGCCTTTCACCATAGTGGCGGTCCCCACCTGGCACTGGCTCCGTGCCCGGGCTCCATCTTTCTCCCAGGCTGGGTCTTCAGCACCGAGGACAGCGCCTGGCACCCAGCTGCCCCCTGCATGTGGGCATGAGGCGTGGGAGTGAGGAGAGGCTCCGATCGCAGCGCACACTCTGCTTATCTTCTGATTGTTCCCCACCTGGCTGCCTCCCTCTGCAGAGACGAGCCACCTCCCTCCTCTCCCACTGGGTCAGCCACCGCCGCCGCCTCCTGGGACGGTGGCCGGGGACCCGGAGCCTGAGTACAGCCTTCATGTCTGAGCTGATGCCTGCCATCCCTTCGGGGGGCCTTGTCTGCATGTCCTTATTCCCACGTGTGTGACACGCTGGCTGCAGGGGTCTCTGGGGCTCTTCCCAGGGCAAGACCCACGCGAGGCAGCGGCCTCTCCCCTACGCCCTCAGGGCCACGCAGCTCTGTGTCCTCTCAGCACACAGAACAACAACTCCTGGCCCTCTTTCCTGCCCATCACACTGAAGTGGGTGCCCCCTGCTGCTCCGCCCAGGAGGCCACCTCCCTGGGGACACGTCTGTGAAGATGTCCCGCAGGTGTGGCCACTCCAGGGCTGAAGCCAGCTCAGCAGGCAGGATGTTCCGGTAGTGGAACTGAACGGCTGGTATGCTTTCGCCAAACGGTGGTGTTTTAACGGTTTCCAGTGTCTCCGCCCATCGCACTCCCGGTCGTGCGGTGTGCTGCCGGTCGTGCGGTGTGCTGCCGGCAGTTCTTCTGGAACAAGCTCTGGGTGAGGGAGTAAAGCTACACGGTCCCCCCTTACCCTGTTAGACAAACGGAGGTGGAAGAGTGTGGGACTGTGTGGTCAGTGCCCTTCACTCCGGGGGCTGGTCAGGGAGGCCCTGGAACCCCCGTCTTGTGTTGTGTGGGGTCGCCTTCCTGGAAGGAGGTGGGCTGAGAGCTAATGTGGCTGCTGAGTGCAGCCGCGGGCTGCAGGCCGCCCTGCCTGGGGCCTCCCAGCACCGCCCTGCTGGACGTGATGCCCTGAGTGCCCCGCATTCTCCCCAGCCTGTCGCTGTCAGCTCGGGGTCCGGCCAGCTTCAGCGGGGTGACCCAACGGGCCCCGGCCTGCTCTACGGAGGAGGAGGAGGAGGCCCCCGGCCGTCAGAGGGTCGCTCCCCGGCTGCAGGTTACCGCCTCCTGCTGGAGGGAGGGCACAGTCAGCGCGACAGGCGCTGGGGGGGGTTCCTAGTGCGTCCCACATCCCGGGCGGCGTGTCACGAGGCGTCCGAGAAGCTGCCACATTTCACGAGTGACGACGAAAGGGGAAGTTCCCGAAACCAGTGACCAGAACCTCTGTGGGGGTGGTAGGGATGCGAGAGACAGCGGAAGCCCCTGCCCACTCCCACCGCCCTGACCAGCGCGACGCTGAAGTTGGCGACTGTATTGGAGGCACCGGCGCCTCTCCGATGCCATTCGGGATGGTCGCGGCACTCAGACCCACTGACCGGCTGGCCTCTGCGTCCTGAGCCAGCCCTCGGGGGAAAATGCCTCTCGGTGGAGCCGGAGGCAAGTGCGCACTGGAATGCCGGGCAGAGGGTGCGCCTGTGGGACCACTGGGCGGGTGAAGGGGCACCGGCAGGGGCGGGGGCGCCGGGGCGGAGCCGCGCAGGCACAGTGAGGGCCCCACCAACACTCAAGGTGGCTGTCCCCGAGAGGGCTTTTGGCCTCCTCTCCTTCCGCTTGTCTCCATTTTAGTCAAGTGGATAGAACAGTGGAATGATCTCGGTGAATGTTGCAGAGATTAAGTTCAAGGTCACCTTTCATGTCGAGTAGAAGTTGCTTGTGAGGGTCATTAAGGAAATGTGTTTGCAGCCTTTGGGGACCCTGTGACAGATGTGATTCTGCCATTTACAGCGATGGGCTCTCAGGGGGCTGTGGCCGTCTCCTTGCTGAAGACACCGGATGTCACAGGGTCAGTGTCAGCGCTTTCTGGCCACAGCCCGAAACTTGTGGCCTGTCAAGTTTCTCTTTTTTTTTCAAAGATTCTATTAAGTTTTAGAGAGGGGAGAGAAGGGGGCAGAAAAAGGGAGAGAGACTCCGATCAGCTGCCTGACTGGGGATCAAATCCAGGCACCAGCCTGACCTTCCGCTTTGCGGAATGACAGCCAGCCCACAGAGCTACGGAAGCCAGGGCCAGTCCTCTGCTCCCACGGCAAACGAAGGCCCACGGGTGGGCTGGGCAGGGACTCCTGGGGGCAGTGCTGTGAGATGCATGTGGGGGGGTCAGCAGGTAGGAGCAGGGCGGGTCGGGGCTGTGGGCTGCACAGAGGCGAGAGCGATGCCTCCGAGAGGGTGGGGGTGAAGTGCAGGGAGGCTCCCTGGCCTCGTGTGGGTGTGAGGAGGCCGGGCGGGGAGAGACCGCTGCCACGTGTTCCCAGGAGGAAAGGGGGGCAGAGAAGGGGGACAGCAGAGTTCCGTCTGGTGTGGACATGCCCTGAGGCCCTTCGGGCTGTCCCGGGTCTGGGGGCCAAGCGGGGCGGCTCAGTGGTGGCTTCACGGGCACGGCTGGCCAGAGGTGGGAGGGTGGGTGTCAGACGGGAGGCCGGAGAGAAGACAGTGGCGGAGGGAGGCCGCACGTCCCCAGGCTGCACGGCCACATCTCCAGCAGCGCTCCCCGGGGTGACCGCCAGGCCAGACCGCGGCACACGAGGCCTCTGGGTGCCGGGAGCAGCCCTCCCACGTGGCTCCGCGGCGGCCAGCCTTGCTGAGTCTGCGGGTCACAGTCTTTCTCCATTTCCGTTTCCGAGCCCTGCCACGTGCCCTGGGCACGAGCTCAGAGGGCCCGCGGTTCGTTCCTCCCCCACCCGCAACACCTGCTGGTGAAGTGCTCTCCTGGGCAGGTCTCCTCCGGGTGGGCGCCCGGCAGAGCAGGGGCGGTCTGTGCTCGGGGGACTTTACGGCCTGGCCAGGGTGCCAGGCCTGAGTGATGGTCTGTGTGCAGTGTGTTACTTATTTATTTTTTAGAAAGAGGGGGAGGGAGGGAGAAAGACAGGGAGAGAAACATCAGTGTGTGGTTGCCTCTCACGTGGCCTCCGCTGGGGACCTGGCCTGCAACCCAGGCATGTGCCCTGACTGGGAATCGAACCCGTGACCCTTTGCTTCACAGGTCCGTGCTCAATCCACTGAGCTACACCAGCCAGGGCAAGACTTGCCCTTTGGAATAATTTAAGTTTTCCTAATTATTGATTTTGGTTGAAGTTAAACTTAAAAACTTTTTAAAAATTGGATGGAAAGGTTTTCTTTTTTAAAGATTTTTTTCTTTATTTTTAGAGAGGGGAAGGGAGGGAGGAAGAGAAGGAAATATTAATGTGTGGTTGCCTCTCACACGCCCCCTACTGGGGACCTGGCCAGAAACCCAGGCACGTGCCCTGACTGGGAGTCAACCGACCAGCTAGCTGGGCCCTATGACCCCCCCCCCCGCCCCCTCCTGCCCTCAGGTGGCCAGTCGGTCATCACAGCCCAGTTACCCACCCAGAACAGCCTCTCTGCCCTCAAAATCCACAGTTTTGCTCTCCCGTGACTCAGAAACCCACAGCCCAACCACTTGGAACTGCGAGCGAACTTAATGGTGAAGGGCCCTTCTGAGTGGGCGCTTGGGAGGCGCTGCGGCTGCAAACCCGAAACCAGCCTGCGCCTTGCGCCTGGGTCGGGGTTCGCGGGCCTTGAGGGCGCTCTCGTTCCCGGGCTCTGGGCTGGTCTCCAAACCCCACGTGTGACGGCCCACCGGGTGCGCTCCTGGGTGGTCTCGGTTCCTGGCTGCCTGCACGTCCCCCGGGATTCCTCGCTCTTTGTCCACTCCTGTGCAAGGACGCACTAGGTGCTGTGCCCCCTGGACACTACCGGTCACTGTGGAGGAGGCCGCAGCGTTGTAGCAGGTCGGGCCCACCCTCCTGTGGCCCTTGACCTGGCGGGGGGGGGGCCTGCACTCCGGCCTCCGGACACCAAAGAAGGTGTCGCAGACCAGGTGGGGGGCCACTGAGCACGGCCCGTGGGAGCGACGCGGGTGGTCTGCAGGCCGTCGGCTCGGCTCCTCCTCGTCCCGCAGCCCTGGGTGTGCAGGTGGCTGAGTCTGACCCTTCAGTCTGTGAGCCCCCATACCTGTGTGGTGGTGCTGCAGACTGCGGGCTTGTGACAGGACTCCCACCTCCTGGGCCCCGCCGGTCTCCATGGTCCCGCTGTGGCCTGGAGGGCCCCCCATCCGTGGCGCATGCGGCAGGCGGGCACGCGCACGGGTCCTGGGCTCTGCAGAGGGCCGACTGCTCGCCGCCCGTCGGACGCACTGCCTCTGATGTCTGCTGTTGTGCCTGTGGGAGACCTAGTGTGCGGTGTTCGGGGTGGGGCCTTAGGGGTGATTGGAGGTTGGGGCTGGGCCCCCATTGTGGGGTTGGCGCCCTTGGCACACGGGCAGGGCAGCTTCCTTGCTGCAGGGCGAAGGCGCCCTCCGTGACCTGGGAGGGCTGCTGGCCGAGACCCACCCGGTCTGGTGCCTGGCGTCTGGCTCGCAGCCTCCAGCCTGTGCGGACCGTCTGTGGGAGGAGCGCCAGGGCCTGTGGGGTTCTGTCACAGCGGCCAAGCTGCCTGAGGCCATGGGTGCCCTCCCCTGCCTCCTCCCCGGCTTTCACAGCCAGCTGTCCAGAGTTCAATGAAAACCGGCCACCGAGAGAAGGGCCACCCTCTCTGCCTCAAGTGCCTCTGAGATTGGTGCTGGGTGTCACCGTAGCCGAGCAGGAGCGTGGGTCTCAGAGCCACGTTGCCGCTTTCTCTCCCCATTCAGGTTTTCATTTCGCTTGCAGAGGCCGCACATGCTGCTCCATGCGTCTCAGTAAAGGGGGGACCAGGGATGGAGAGGGGAGTGCCGGCGGTCACGTGCCGTGGCCACGCGAGCGGGTTTCCTGACCATGTGTTACCTGCTCACTGCTTTCTCCCGGAGGCGTGGTGGCTTTTGGTCTCAGCCATTCTCGTGCGCCCTGTGTCAGCGAGGACTCTGGGGCTGCGGGTGACGGGCTGTGACTCACGCTGGCTGGATTGCAGCCCTCCCATCTCCCTGGTGTGCTGGCCCTGCCGAGTGCCAGGAGGTGTGGCACCCTGTCCCAAACCGACACCTGTCTGCGCCTCCCAAAGACCCAGCCGCAGGCCCTTTCCTGTCTCATTGGCCAGAAGGGCCCCCTCTGGGTCCCATCCGGTGCTGGGAGGGCGTGTTGGTGAGGGTCTCAGGCCGATGGAGCGGACGCTGCGGCCAGGTGCTTGCACAGCGCAGAAGTGTTTCTGTCACACGTTTCTGGCCGGCGTGGGCATCTCCTGGTGACAGGCGGTGCCCACCTACTGTGTGCTCACAGGGCAGGGCAGGTGCAGGACGAGGGCTCCTGCTGGGGCCGGTCCTTCCCAGGGCAGCCACGCACCGTCAGCTGGGCCAGGGCCCCGCTGGGTCTTGACAGGCGGGAGGGAGGCGCTTAGCCCCACGCTTGGGGACCTCCAGGCCCTGCTCACGTCGCCCCTTCTCTTGCCCCAGCGTCGAGTGGGAGCCCACGGGAGACGGGAGCAGAGTCTTGTCGCTGGTGGACAACCACGTCCTGCTGTGGGACCTGCAGGGGAGCTCCTGCCGGGCCGTGGTGAGTACCGAGGCTCACGTCGGACTTGGGCTGCGTTCAGAATGCACTTCTTGATTTGTGTGTGTTTGGAATTTTGACATGAATTGTGAAGTGATTGGCGAATGGATTGAATTATTGATGAAAGAACTGAGTGAGTGGTCCACTGGGTGAAAGCCGCCTATACTCGACCTCAGGGCTGTGAGCAGATACGATGGAATCCTGAAGGTGGGCGGAGCCCCCCCTTTCCTCACAGTCTGTCCACCGGAGGCAGGGGCCACCCAGGAGCATTTCCTCTGTGTGAAGTATTCTGTCCTTCTAAGACATGGGTTTCCATGTCTGTTCGGTGCAGACCACCGTCCAGGCAGGCACTGACCTTGGGCGCTGACCGGCCTTCCTCAATCCTGCCCGCGAGTGTGGGGGCGCCTTGGCCGTGACGGACCATCAGCCAGTGCGCCCTCTTCTCCCTCCCGTGCACGGCAGGACTCAGGGTGCTGCCAACAGACACCTGGTGGCCCCTACGAACTTGGGAGAGGGACCAAGGGACCCCCGCCGTGGTCGGGCACCCACCCGTCACGGCCAGTGTCCTGTCTCCAAGGACAAGGACAGCTGGGTCCTCGCGCGTCCACACCAGGAGACGCCATCTCCCTCAACCAGCCGCCCTCGGACCTGCTTGGCGTTCAGTGCTGGTGCTTTGGAATCAGGTCGCCCTCAGATGGGGCTTGCTGTAGATACTCCGTCCATCAGAGAGAAACCGTCTGCTGATGGGTGTGTGTGTTTTCACATGGGATCCCTTAAAATTTCCTCCTTTGAAGTCTGATTTTTACCTGCGTTCGTAGTTTCGTTGCATATGTTTATATAAAAATAAGAACTTTGGGGAGAGAGAACAAGAGCTTGGAGAAGGTGAAGGTCCTTCGCTCCTCACGCCCAGGGAGCCAGGCTGCTGCAGGGGGCGGGGCATTGAGGGCAGGTGTTCGGGCCTGCGATGTCAGTCACCCTTCCGCTCACGGGCTGCACAGCGTCGGTCAGTCTGCACCCCCGGCCTGGTGGAGGAGACGGTGTGGGCAGTGGCTGGTCACCACCGATTCGTGACACCGGACACGGAGTGTCTGTCTTAGAGCCCTCACGGGTAGAAGGGCGTCTCACAGCCTTGGGAGGGCGCTTCAGAGTAGGCCTGTCTTTGTTCACGGAAGTAAGATTTAAGGGGGATCGTCACAACTTTTATTGGAATAAAGGAACACAGGACATCGCTCTACCTGGAGCACAGTGCAGATCGCACCCACAGTGTCAGGGTGAAAGAGACTCGAAGGAAGCCCAGTGCCTGAGACCGTTCCCTGCAGCCCACGGGTGGGGGGCTTGCCGGGGCGCCCGGGTCAGCATCCAGGGGAGCGCCTGTCGTCCCCGCTGCAGCTGTGCACAGCCCGTGCTCCCTGGACGGCAGCCTGGGGCGCAGGGGTGGCCCTCTCCTGGCGGAGGCGGGGGGGGGGGCAAGTGGGGCTCGGGGCTCGGCTGCTGGTCTGGGCAGGGGATCCTGCAGCACCCCACCCCCCGGCCAGTTCGCTGCCGCCCCCACTTCAGACTCCTCCCCAGCCCTGCAGTCCCGGTCGAGACTCCACGGTGGGTGGGTCCCCGGGAACTCGTGCTCTGCATAGACCTGTCCAGTCCCCTTGGCCCCAGTTTGCCCACCGACAGCACTGGGTCGATGTGGCTCAGTGACCCCCGGCCGCAGCGTTAATGCCGAGGACTTTGGATCGATCGGGCCGGCTGCACTCCCCGCGCCTCGGGTTCTGATTGTCTGAGGATATTGCGTGTGTGGGGAGTCTGATCTCGGGCTCGCCGCATCACTGCCCTTCGCAATTAAACCAGAGGTTCTCTGCCATTTATAATCATTAGCAGGAGCCCAGGGGAGGCCTGGGGGCGGGTCTGCGGGGTCCCAGACCCCGGCGAAGGCAGAGGGGCGCCCCTCCCCCCGTCCTGGTCCTTGGCCGTTCATCTCTGGGCTTCGACAGCTCCCGCTGGCTGTGGGGACAAGCAGCTCCCACTGCCGTGCATGGCAGGCGCAGAGCCGGAGAACGCTGGTGGCCGTGGCCCACGCCTTGGTGTGGGAACCTCCAGGGAGGAGGCCAGCATGTCCCCTGCACCAGTGTGTCACCTGCGTGCAGCAGCGCCTCTTTGAAGGAGGAGAGTGGGCGTCAAGGGCACCATGTGCTTTTAGGACCTTTGGCCACTGCCCCCTGCCACTCAGCTTCCCGTGCTTGAGACGCGGCTCAGGGAAGGGAGGTTCGAGGCTCACCTCACTCACTCTCTAGGCTCACCATCTACAACTTCAAGTGCAAAGCCCGGCAGGCTGGACTCCAGCGCCAGCCTGCCGCTCACCACTGGCTGGGCGCAGGGGAGGGGACTCGCCTGGGGGCCGCTCCCGAGCCAGCTTCTCGCACTGTCATCATCTCGGGCCTGTGCCTGGCGCCTCCGTGCGGGACACGACCCAGGGCGCCGGCCCCACCACCAGCCCCCCTTGCAGCTGGTGCCGCTGGACGAGTGGGCGTGCTGGGAGTGGTCCTCAGCTCTGGGCAGGGCCCCTCCCTGAGGGGACGTCCCCGTCACCCGCGTCTTGGTTCCTGGGTGAAGAAGCAGTCGTGCTCATCTTTTTGTCCCTTCTCCTTTCACCCTCTCAACAGGGTCTTCTGCAGAGTGAAACTTAAGAATTGTTTAAATAGTCCTGGCTGGGGTGGCTCAGTAGATTGAACACCGGCCTGTAAACCAAAGGGTTGCCGGTTCGATTCTCAGTTGAGGCACATGCCTGGGTTGCTGCCCAGGTGGCCAGTAGGGGGCACATGAGAGGCAACCGCACACTGATGTTTCTCTCCTTTCCCCTCTCTATGAATAAATAAAATCTTTAAAAAAAGAATTTCTTTAACGGACTTGAACTTTCAGAGCAGTTTGAGGTTCCCAGCGGAACTGAGGGGAAGGTACAGAGATTTCCCTTCTCCCTCCACCCCCATGTGCCCACCCACCAGAGGGGGCGTCATCGTGAACTCTCGGGGATGCCCACGGCCTCCTGCCCGCAGTGCGGCACCTGGAGACCTCTGAGACCGTGCAGCTGTCCCTCTGACTCGGCAGGAGCGCCTCCCGCACCCGGTGCCCGCGTGGTGCGGCCCGGGGCCTGTGAGAGTCGCCGCCAGCCGGTGCCCGCATGCTGTCCCTCCTCACCGGCTTTGGACTTGTCCCTGTAAAGAACGACGGGCCTCGGGGCCGTCCACTCTGACTCTCTCACGTGACAGAGGGCAAGCCAGGGACTTCCTGACGGCCATGCGGTCTGAGTGACACGGCTGGCCTGGTGCCAGTCTGCCCCCACGGAGGCGTGGCCCCCAGAACCTGGGCCGGCGCTTGAAAGTCTCAAACGGTGCTGACACACCTTCTCTGTGAGGGCAGTTTGAGTTTTGGTCAAAGCCAAGAGGGACCTGGAGCAAAATCCAGCAGGCAGGGCAGTTCCCCAGGCTTCACGAAACTGGCTCACAGGAAACCTATGAAAGCCCCGTGAAAACCGGTTTTCCTGCGTGACTCACGAAGAGAGTGGAGACCCTGGGACGTGGAGAGCAACGTCTGTGTCGCTGGAGCCCCTGGGAGAGCCGTCAGGTCCACGGGTGCCTCGGGGGCTTGCCTAACCCGCCACGGCCCAGAGAGAAGATGGGGTCGGTCATCGACGTCATCGCTGCACGTGTCTTAAGTCTTGTGAGTTGAAGACAGCTCGTTTCCTAACCTTCCGGTTAGAGCTGGGAACTAAGTCCTTAAACGGGACTAGGTGTTGGTGAGCCGTGTTTCCCGAGCTCTGGGAAGATTTCTCTTTGGCGGCAGAAGGTAGAGAATGCACTCAAAACTGAGGGTCTGCAGCGGAAGCAGTGCCCAGCCCGGGTGGGGTGGCAGGGGCGCAGTGTGCACCTGGGATGGGTGGCTGCCCGTCCCGGGGCTGTGGGCCCCCTGCTGCTGAGCCGGTCCCGGCTGCAGGTCTGTCGTGGAAGGCGGTGCCTTCAGCTGGCCTTCCCCGGGCTGGCCGGGGCCAGATGGCGCAGGATGGGCCTGTGGCTGAGGCGAACGGGACACCAAGCACAGCGGCGTGCAGCTGCCGTCTCCGGGGGTCGGGGCAGCGTCTGTGTTGCTGGAGGGCTGCGGGGGGCCTGCAGCATCCAGGAGTGGCAGACGGGACACACGCCACCCCGCGGCATCGTCCGGCCTCCCTTGGGCCTCTGTCAAGGTCTCCGGGGGCCTGTCCCTGGGTCCCCTCTCTGAGCATTTCTGAGAGCAAGGCCAGTCTTCAGACAAGGCAGTGACAGTGGCCCTGTGCCCGGCAGGGACAAGTGGCAGAGACTTGGGCCCACACACTCACCCTACCTTCAGAAGTCACTGTGGGGACTGGGTTTCAACCCCAAATCCAAATGATGATGTAATCAGTGTGACACATTTGCATAAAACCCCAGGCAGGTGGGTGGGGAATGAGATGAGGGGGGGCGCCCTTCCCCAGGCTCCACCCTGGCCCCCCAGCACCTGGGAGGTGGGGGTTTCTGTCCAAAGACAGCCCCAGTGGGCGCCTTGCAAGGTCATTGTCATTGCCTCTGAGGTTTAGGTCACGTCTGTGTAACGGATTTGGGAACCCTGAAGGCAGAGGGGAGGGCCCGCACTCGGAACACGTGACCGGGCCCCGGCTGCGGTCCTCTGGCCCTTGGGGCTTGGCCGCGTGGGCTGCACCGGCGTTGGGTCCACCTCTGGGGGTGGCCAGGTGTTTGCGGTCTCGTGCTGTTCCCTCGGGTTGGAGGCGGTCCCCTCTCACTGCGCCCTCACGGGTCCCGCTTAATGGAGGCACTGCTGGGAGGCTTGCTGTTTTTTGCTGTGCCAGTTTCACAGTTTTTCCCAAAAAGGGTTCAAACACTCCCGCCTTCCAGGTTAGGAAACAAAGCCCGAGCTTCCCGTCTCCGGCTGACCCTGACTGCCACCCTGTGGCTCGGGAGTCCTCCGGCAGTTTCTGGGAGAGGTCACGCTCCTTCCTGTCCCCTTCCTTTGGCAGCTGGCCAGCTCAGCCTCACTGGAGGGCAAAGGGCAGCTGAAGTTCACCTCGGGGCGGTGGAGCCCACACCACAACTGCACCCAGGTGGCCACCGCGAACGACACGGCGGTCCGAGGCTGGGACCTGCGGAGCATGAGGTCAGTGACGGGCACGGGCCAGGGACGCTGCACCCGGTGCCTCGTCTTCCCGGCCCCCTTCACCCACCCGGACCGCTCTGAGCCAGCGCGTCTGGGGCACGTGGCTCCTCTGTCTCCATCTCGTTTGGTTTCTCCTCCCCACCGTGAGCTGCCGTCGCCATGGGCGTGGTCCGTGGGTGCTCCGTCAGCTGTTCAGTGCTCCACGCGGGCCTCCCGCCAGCACTGGCCGTGATCGGAGTGCTGGGATCGGAGATCCGGCCTCAGTGTCGCTGCCCCCTCGGGTCTCCATGAGCAGAGAGCACCAGTTGACATCATGGTCCCCTGGTTGCATGTGTGACACGGCCTGCGACCGTTTCTGTGCCTGCCAGGTGACTGGAGTGGGTCATTTCATCGTGATGCGCAGTGGCTGGCCATTCTCATGGGACAAACAGGAGCAGTTTTCTGCCCCAGGTGCCATTTGACAGGCAGCTGTTGTCATGGTGATGGAGCCCTGCTGCCTCCGTGGGGTGTAGCTCGTCCCCTGTGCTCATGTCCTCAGGAGCTGCAGAGACGCGCCCCAAAACCACTTGTGCAGCCTTCCAGGGTTGGGGGCACCCCTTCAAACCGAGTTCCGAGGCCCCTCTGCACCTGGCCAGGGTGCGGTAAGCCCCCACCTGCAGCCCGTGCACACCTGTGTGGCCCAGCTGGGAGCCCCGTGCCCCCACCCCACCCCCGCCCCAGGTGGTGCAGACTCTCTGTGTCTGGGGGCAGAAGTGCAAGGAGTGACCGTCCAGACCCCGACAGACCTGACGGGCATGGCTTCGGGGGGGCGGCATCCTGCAGCTGCCGCCTCTGCCACGTCAGCTGTCTGGGGTGATGAGCAGCTAAGGGGACACGAGGCCCCTCGCCCGACTGGCACTTCCGCTGCTCTGGGCCCAACTGAGCCGGGGCCTCCGTGTGTGCGCCGCACTCTGTGCTGCAGGTTCACAGCACCACCCCGTGCAGGTGCACCGGGTGTGGGGGCCCAGCCGGGACCGCGCCTCATGCTGCTGGGGCACTGGGCCTGTGTTCCAGGCCACTGTCCCGCCGTTTGGGGTCCTGACATCAGAGGCTCAGACGGAACATTCTGGTTTCAGACCTTGTGGGGAGCAGCCTGGAGCAGCGGGAGCTGGGGTGTCGGGCGTGTGTGGGCCTACAGCTCTGGGTGCAGAGTGGGCGGGCCGCGCCGCCACATTGGCAGCAAGGGGGGTGTGTGGGGAACAGCCACGCGCAGTCTCGGCGAACGCCAGCTTTGGGTCTGTTGTGGCGTTTTTGTCTGGCTCGTCCCTCCCTGACCCCCGACACCCACAGCAGGCCGTTCTGCCTCCCTCACCGCCCCGTTCTCTCCACCCCTCTCCTCGTGGTGCCCTTGCAGGCACGGGTCCAGTGTCCTACCCAAGCCTGTCTCTGCTCCTGGAGGGCCGTGCGGGCGCCCGGCTGCCCTGGTCCCGGAGCAACGTTCCAAGAGCCACAAACTTGTCACTTCCACACTTGTGGCCGGAGAAACCGCAAGTCCCCAGTGCGGGCGGCACTGGCGTGGGTGTGGGCCTCCTGGCACCCGCAGCCGCTTCTGGTGTGGCCCCGGGAGTGCCAGGCTGGGTGCCCGGGGGCCCCTGGGAGTCAGGGCTGCCCCCACCCGACTCACACTGGTGCCCCCGCCCTCAGCCAGATCTACTGCATCGAGAACGCCCACGGGCAGCTGGTGCGGGACCTGGACTTCAACCCCAACAAGCAGTACTACCTGGCCAGCTGCGGGGACGACTGCAAGGTGAAGTTCTGGGACACGCGCAGTGTCGCCGAGCCCGTGAAGACCCTGGAGGAGCACTCCCACTGGTAGCAGCGCCCACGTGCCGGCCGGGCCCGGGTGGGGTGGGGTGAGGTGGGGTGGGTGTTCGCCAACCGCCTCACCGCTGGGAGAGCCGCGGGCCAGCCTGGGTTTTTGCTGCTGTGACTCAGTCACTGGACCCAGTTCCGGGTTTTCTAAGGAAGCACTAATTCCAAGTCCGCGTGTCTGTGATTTGTGAGCGCAGGAAAGGATGAGAAACACTAGCTTTTGCGTTCTCTGGAAATGGTACAGTTCAAGTGTGCAGCCAGGAATGAGCACGGGTGTCCGGGGCGCTGGAACCCCCCACGTGCCCATCCGGAGGGGCCCTCGTGGGGGGACGAGGCCCCGGGTCGGGGGGCGGCAGTGTGCACAGCGCGCTCACGCCCTCCTGCTGAGCCGCTGGAGCCTGCACCGCAGGGCGAGGCCGGGAGCCGCGGGTGCAGGCGGCACGCAGAGCAGCGGCTCTCGTTCTGGGGGAGGCGTGGGCGTGCCCGCGTGTGTCTCGCAGGGTGTGAGGGCCCAGCTGCTATGAGGAGCCCTCACCTGGGTGGGGGGCAGATCCCTGGAGACCTGACCCCCTGGTCTCTGCCTCCAGGTTCTTTCAGTTACTTCCCAGAAGCTGCATTGTTTCTATGACCAGAAAGTTAAAAAGCCCGGGACACTCATGCACAGTTTTAACAAACTCACTGAGGGGCCGTAATGAGTGCTGTGGCCCCTGCAAGCGGGCTGTTGGCACTCTGCCCCGCTCGGTGGACCGGCACCCACTTGGCATGGCGGGTGCTCGGCCCTCTGAGTCCCCCGGGTGAGTGTCAGGGAGCTCACCCTGCCCGGGGCTGCGGCTCACGGGCTGTGCCCCCAGCGCGGCTTCGGGCCTGCAGGGAGCCTGTCTGCCGCCACTGAGGCTCCGGCCCCGGCTTGTCCGTTGTTGGGGTTTAGGCGGCAGTTGCAGAACGCGCGGCAGGCCTGCTCCTCACTGGACACTGCCTGGCGTCCACAGGCCCTTGGGGTGACTGCCTGGCGACTCCTGCTCCCTGGGCAGGGGAGTCCCAGCCTGTGCCCACCGCCTCCCTGCCCCCAGGGTGTGGAATGTGCGCTATAACCACTCACACGACCAGCTCGTCCTCACGGGCAGCAGCGACAGCCGGGTCATCCTCTCCAACATGGTGTCCATCTCGTCCGAGCCCTTTGGCCACCTGGTGGATGACGACGACCTGAGTGACCAGGAGGAGCGCCGTCTGGAGGACAGGTAAGCGCTCTGGGCGGGGCGGGGCCTGCCTCCCCGCACAGGCATCTCTGCCTCGTGGCTCCAGCCAGAAGCATCTGGGCTGGGGACGGAGCCTCGCTGTGGGCCCTGGGGGCCGAGGTTCCGCAGGCCATCAGCGCCCCGACGGGCCCAGGGCTGGGCCGGCTGGTTAGCACATTCTGTCTTTTCTTACGTGAGAGTTTGAAGCTGTCACTGCTCTCTGACCGTAACCTCAGTGGTGACGGACGCTGACGTGCGTTGGTCGTCCGATGGTTCCTGTGAGAGCTCAGCAGGGGCGCCCCTCCTCGCTGCAGCTGTGGTTCAGGGTGTGGCCTGGCGGCCTCCCGGGGGGTAGGGGGCAGTGGGGGGAAGTGGGGACTGCCGGGCCGGGCCCTTGGCACTTCCACAGCTGCACCGCGCTGTGTCTCCCAGATTCCTGGTGCGCGGTCCCGAGTGTGCCCGCGCGGGGCCGTGTCTCGAGACCCGTGGGTCCTGGGGTCTAGGCACCTGCAGGCGCCGCTGGTTCAGGTGGCGTGGCCCGCCCTGTGGGAGCCGGGCCTCTGAGTGGGAGAGAGAAGCGCGGCTGGGCCCCGTCGGCCGTGCCCCCCGTCGGCTGTGCCCCGTTGGCCGTGCCCCCCATCGGCTGTGCCCCCGTCGGCCGTGTGCCGGTGAACGGGGACCCTCTTGCCTCTGGATCGGGCTCCTTCCCTGTGGCAGCCGCACCTGGTCGAGGGGGGTTCAGACGCAAGCACGGAGGGTCTTGCCCCTGGGCCCAGAGCAGGATGGCTCTGGGAGACACGACTGCGGAGCTGAGGTCCCAGCCCGTGGACCCGAGGGGCTCTGTTGTCTGGGCTCCTCCGCACCTGCCCGAGCTCGGCCGGGAGCCGCCTCCTCGGAGCGGCTCCAGTGGTCTGCCTCTCGACTGCGCTGCCTTCTGGTCACTTGGAAACGTGGGACAGAGGCGTCACCATGGTTCCCACCAACTGACCGCTCTTGTGCAGCTGCTTCTGGTGCTCCCACCAGCCCTCTGCTCGTGGCCAAGCAGCGTCTGTGTCCCGGGCGCCTGTGGGGGTCGGGGCGCCCTGTGTCCAACGTGGCAGCCGAGGGAAGAGCATCAGGAAGGAGGGGTGCTGGTGGCCTGCAGTCCTTCCAGGAGCCGTGGCACAGCACCTGGTGTCCCCACGGAGTCCTGCAGCCCTGTTCCTGTGGTCTGCCCACGTCTAATGAAATCCATGGGGTAGAATCCCTGCCAGGACTTCCCCTGGGTCTGCTACCCAGCACCAGGGGACCAGGCCCACCTCCGGGAGGCCAGGCCCGGCCGTACTGAGTACAGGGTAGGACACAAGGGCGGTGTGGCTTCCCACGGAGCGTCCCCGAGCACCAGGGCACTTGTGGACTCTCGGCGCAGTTCTGGGGGAAGGAGAAGAAAAGTGCCGGAGAAGCCCTGCCAGGCCGACGGCGGTGCCCGCACAGGGGCTGGGTCTGGGGCAGCAGCGGGTGAGGCCCGCCCTCCACACACGCACTTACGGGTGTGGCGGGACCAGCTGCTCTCGTGCCCAGAGAGAGGGACGGCCGGGAAGGCAGGCGACGGGGGCAGCGCCCAGCCCAGGGCCAGGCCGGCAGGCTCGCTCCCGCCCAGCCCCTCCATTCAGTGAGGGACTGGTCCTAGGGTCCCTTCTGCTCAGACGTTACAGGCAGGATCCTCCGGTCACTTCATGTCATCCTTTTGGTCCCCTGTGGTCGTCCGGTGTCAGCCCCGAGCCCAGGGGCCTCTCACAGGTCACCAGCAGCACCGCTGTCCCGGCCCAGGAAGCAGGTGGTGTGGGCGGAGCGTGGGGCTCCCGGTGCTCCTTCCGCCGCCCAAACTTCCCGACCGGAGCAGCCGCCCGACGGCCCCGCCGAGGCCCCTGCGCATCCCCATCCCGCAGTCGAGAGGCCGAGGCCCCCGCCTCGCTCACGCCCGTCTCTGGTCCTTGCAGGAGTCAGGAGCCCCCGCAGGACGGCGCCATCGCCACCTACGAGGAGCACGAAGACAGCGTGTACGCCGTGGACTGGTCCTCGGCTGACCCCTGGCTCTTCGCCTCCCTGAGCTACGACGGGAGGCTGGTGATCAACCGGGTGCCGCGGGCGCTGAAGTACCACATCCTGCTCTGACCCTGCGCTGGCAGTGGGGAGATGACCCTGCGCTCGCAGTGGGGAGAACACTGGCACCGGCCGCCGTGCAGCGGGCCGCGGCCGCCACGTGAACCCGAGAGCCCCGCCTCCACTCACTTTCCCTTTCCTCTGTTAGGGGCCCTGGGGGTTTGTTTCATGTGAAAAAAACTTGTTTCCATAACATTAACTCATCTGTCTCCTGGGGTTGGAACTGAAATAAAACAGCGAGGCCGTCGTGCCACACGGGCTCCCGGCTCATCCTTTCCGGAACTCTGGCCCCGACCGTCAGCGCCTGGCTCTGTCCTCTTTCTTGGTCCCGGCCCAGACGAAGCTGGGGGCACCGGTTCCACATGGCTCTGACACAGCTCAGGGGGCCCACGCGTCCTGGGCCGTGGCCGTGCTCACCCGGGCCCTGCCCGTGTCGCTGACCCCGTGTCTCCCTCCCATCAGCCTTGGCTCCCCCCCCCCCCGCCAGTGCCCTTCTGTACTGTCCCCTCCCAGGGTGCCGTGGGCACCTGCAGGCGCCAGTGCTCTCACCTGTTGAGACCCCTCATTGTTGTGCCCCCCTCGGTGACCCGGAAACACTGGTCAGGGGCTTCTTGCCTGTCGCGCGTCCGGTGGGCCCGTCCGTCTTTGTGTGCCGTGGGCAGCGAGCACTGTGTTGGCGGTGTCTGTGGCCACTGCCTCCAGGCCCCAGTGGGTCCCCTGTGTCCTGCCCCCTGCGGAGGGGCCATGGGAGGTGCTCGTCACCCCCCGCTGGCTGGCGGGTTTGCTTCTTCTCTCAAGACAGGCTTCAACTGAGGTTTGGCGAAGTCTGAGTGGCCGAAGCTGGCTGGGCCCCTGAGTGTCTGGCACATCTGGGGTTTGTTCTCCTTTTGGAGGTGACAGATTGTGGAGCGCAGTGGGGGCTCTGGGGGAGGGGAGGAGGGTGGCCTGTAGGGAGCCATGGCCCCTGGTGGCTCAGAGCTCTGTCTGCTGTCCTGCCTGTGACCCAGTGAGGAGGGGGACAGAGTGGGGCAGGAGGCAGTTAGTCGGGACCACGGGACACGTGGGGGACGGTGCAGACTTGCCGTTAGCAGCGGCGAGCCCTCGTGGCCAAGGGGCAGGATTTCTGTCGTGACGTGGCGGACAGGGACGTGGAGTCTTGAACAGGACGGGGACAGAGGAGACGGGAGTCTTTGCTGCTGCTGCGTGTGGTGGAGGGCAGTTCCCAGCACAGTGAGTGGGAGGCGCTCGCTTGGCCGACGGGTGGGACCGGCTGTGGGCAGCTGGGCAGGGAGGCCGAGTGACCTGTCAGCTCCCCGACGGGGCGGGTTGCCGGCAGCGCCCCCGCCCCACGCAGGGACGGACGCGGGATCAGGCCTGGCCAGGCGCTCCTGGCTCCTCGGCCCACACCTGGGGCGGCTCTTCCGTGCAGCACTCAGCCGGTGAGGGCCGTGCCCTCTGCCCCGAGGCCCACCTCTCTCCCCAGGCTGGGGCGCCCTGGCCATCGGAACGGCCTGCTCTGTCCCTCCCAACCGGGGGCCGCCGTCCTGGGAATGTGCGGTGCTGCGGGTGGGGCCCGGCGTGGGGCTGCTGTGCTGCTTGGTTCGGAGAACACGGGGCGCCCCGGTGTGACCGGCCATTGTCGGAAGCCCTCGAGGCCAAGTACCAGGAGAGCAGAGGCCACACAGGGGGCGTCCCCTGCCTGAGTGGAGGCGCGGAGCTGAGTCAAGGCAGTTCTGGGCCAGCGGCATCCGGAGGAGCCGAGCAGGGGAACCGCTGTCTGCCTGCAGGGCGGGGCCTGTGCCTGCAGCCGTGGCCAGTGCCGTTTTAAAAGCCAGGTTTGAATTGCAGAGATGGGTTTGAGAGCTGTGGTGTCTCGGACAAGCCAAGCTTCAGTCACCCCCCACCCACCCGTGCTCACTGCAGGGTGCTCAGGTCCCAGTCACCTGGTGCTGGAGGACAGTAGCCCCTGCCTGGGGGGCGGCCACAGCCAGGGGACTCTGTGGACCCTCTGGGGCTGGGCGTGGGCAGGGTGCTGAGCTCTGTCCTCGGCCGCCCCCGGGTTTGGGCGACGGGGAGCGAAGCTGCGGTGCCGTCCGTGTGTGGGTGTCTGCGCAGACGTGGGCTTCCATCTCCTCTGGGGGGGGCGCCTGGTTCCCACTGGCCCCACTGCCCAAGCACTCGGCAGACCCGATGGCAACCGGGTGAAGGTGTGTGCTCTCGTTGTGGGGGCGGGCGGGTGCTGCCCCCCCACGGTGAGCCCCAGACCCCACGTCCACTCACTGCTGGGCATCGCCGACCCCAGGTCCTCAGGCCCCTCCCGAAAACACGTGAGGGACAGAGCCTGCGCCCCTGACCAGAGCCCCCTTCAGGTCTCCGACCTCAGTGTGCATCTCGGGAGGAACCCGGGGTGGCCGTCACTCTGCACCCCCCTCCCAGGGAGCCAGCCTCTCCCTGGCCCCGACCCCCCTGCCGCCTCTTCCGAATCCTCTGCCCCTCCCCTGCTTGGACCAGGCTTGCCAAGTTTGAACTGGAGGCCGGGTTGGAGGGGCTAGTGCCTGGGCCGAGCGCGGAGGGGCTTCTGTGTGAGACGGCTCGACTTTGAGCCCGTTTGTCCAGCATCACTGCTCTCTGCCCGCTAATGAGTCCCCCAGCGGGCCCGGCCTCCGTCCACGGTAACGAGCACCTGCCTCTGGCTGGCCCGGGGCCATCGTTAGCTTCCCGGAACGGGCTGTGGGGGCAGGGCCGCAGCGGGGGCCTCGGGGGGCCATGGAGCCTGCACTGCCTGTCAGGCTTCTTGTTGGGGACAGCGGGCACCCCGTGAGGGTACTGCAGCCGCCACCGCCCCTTTGTCACTCCCCTTCCCTGTTGGGGGGGCAGTGCCACCCGCACGCTCACACGGAGGCACGGATGCAGGACTGGGCCTGAGCCCCCGCCACGCGGCTGCCAGAGCCCTGCTTGCAGCCTCTCGCCTGGCGGCCCCGTGAGCAGGAGAGACGTGTGTGAGGCCTTGCTGTGGGGGTTCACGGTGAGGCCACGTCTGGCCCAGCTGTGGCCTCGTCGTGTGTGGGGCCAGCACCATGTCCTCCATGGCCACAGGCTCCGGTGTTGCTCCGTGTAAACGAGGGGGAGCCGCAGGGTCCAGGCAGCGGCCGCCTGGCGCTGATGGGCAGTGTACGTGTGTGTGTGTGTGTGTATGGAGGGGTGGCCAGCGTGGAGGGGCGAGTCCTGGGCCCACAGCCAGGCACCAGGATCTAGGGGCTGGTGACCGCCCACACCCCACCCGGCGGCGGGAAGGGCGGAGGGCAAGGTGTCCCATGGCTTTGGGGGCTGGTGGCCGGCTGCAACATGCCTGGGGTGTTGGGCTCCCTGCTGCCGGCCCCCGGGGGCCTCTGTCCCCACAGCACTTCTGTGCTCCGTGCGTTAAAGCAGCGGCAGGGGCAGGACGCCCATCGCGTCTCCCGGGAGCAGAGCCCAGGCCTTGGGGGAGGACCGTGCTCTGTCCTGCTCAGACACTGGTCCTTGAAACTGTCCAAGTCGACGGCCCGGTCCACCCTCTGATGCAGCTGTGATGGCTTCGGATTTAGATGTGATTTTTTTTAAAGCCCGGGAAAGAAAAATTGAACTGAATATACAATAATGATGAGTCCTTCGACTTTTGTGCCCGAAATTGCTACTAGGCACGAGTTATTGCATAAAAATCCCCGCCCCGCGTGTCTCCCTGGTTATTCAGCGTGAGAGGGAACCGGCTGTGGGCAACCGCCCACAGCCGGTTCCCGGGGCCCCTGCGGGGGCTGCAGGGGGCAGCGGTTCTGATGGACACGGCCAGCCACGCCCGCAGCACAGGGTGCGGGGATGGGGGGCGGAACCGAGGCTTCTGTCTGCCTAAACTCTGCCGCATGGGGGACAGCCTCCGGCTCGCTCCAGACCCCCCGGTTCTGCGGCACTCGTCACACGTGGGTGCAGCTGACATCTCGGCACAGCCGGCCCCTTGCCTGACCCGGCCCCGCACCCAGTGCCTGGCTCATGGCCGCTCGAGTTGGCCGGGGCTGCTAGGGCCCCGCTTCCGAGCCCACGCGCCTCCACCGTGCACGGCCCCACGGCCCCTCTTTGGGGATCGGCCCCTGGCTTCCTGTCCCGTGGCTTTGGGCCGGTGACCACGAGCCCGTTGAGGACGGCCCTGGATCCTCCTGGCGCGGGATCCAGGCTGAGGGTGAAACGGGGTGACCGGCACGGCCACGGGGGTCACGGGGTCCGGACGGCAGAGGCTCGTCCCTGGGTCCTGAGTGGCTGCTCACACATCTGTTCTCACGAGCAGTGACACAGGACAGGAGGCCTGCGTGGCTGCCACCATTCTTCTGGGGCCTGTCTGGTCCCTCGGCTCCCTCGCTGACTCACGCAGGTTAGCTGGCTTTCAGGTTCCCAGATTCTGCAGCCAGAGCCCGAGACTCAGCTGTGAGTGAAAGCAGTTGGTGTCAGCCTTAGCCAGGCGAGGCGTCCTCATGGCAGAGGACAGTGGGGACAGAAGGGGACCAGGTGGCCACCTTCAGGGCATGGTGTTATCAGGGGCACCCCCTCCTTCGAGGAGAGAAAGCGCCGTGAGTCGTTGATGGCCGCGGACACAACTGCAAACGCACCACAGACTCAGACGTGACGGTGACCGTCCTGGGAGTCGGGCAGCGCAGTCAGGGAGCCACGTCCGGACCCGGCAGCAGGAAGCGCACTGAGGCTGAGCCCTGTGTTTGCGGGGGGAGGGCACCCCCACAGATGTGACCTCGGCGCCAGTTCAAGTGGTGCCCTTGAGGGGCGGGTGGGCAGGTGTCCTCTCTCCTCCGCTCCCGTGTCCCCTCCTCCATCGCTGCCTCCCCCCCATCTCCCCGTCTGCTCAGCCCTCTACACTATTTCATACGTTAACCATGAGCACTTACTACTTTCATTAAAGTGTAAAGCATTTAAAGGTTTGCAAAGTAAGGAAACATTAGAAATTAGGTGGAGACAAGGGTTTTTTGAGTACTTGAGGGGCCCTGAATTATTAGTTAATGTCCACTTACACATTGTTCTTATCTGTTTATTGAAGTCGGCCCCGCGTCCCAGCCTTGGGACGGCCTTAGTGTCAGTCACTGGGGGCCACTGTCCGCCCTGGACATGCTGCAGACGCGGTTTTCTGAGGACAGTCCGACTGAGAAAAACGGAAATGTGTGTACATGTGTCCCTTTCTCTCCCTTGAGTCACCACCATCAATCTGTCCACCTGTCT